ATTAGGGCAAGTGTTAGCTTCTATAAATAGAAGCTAGAGAAGGAAAGAAAGGAAAATTATTTGGAGTGTGAGAAAATCTTTTCCTAATATAGAACGACATTTTCTTGCATCTTCATCTAGCGCCGTCTGTGGGAACGATAGAAGGATTCATTAATTTCAAAAACAAATGACACAGCTCCGATTGGGAACTATGATTGGAGAGGAAGGCTCCCGCCAGCAGGAAGAGGACTAACGGGTTAGGCATGACGACCTGATGCAGATCGTGGAGACTCTATGAAAGGAGAACGTTGAGCTGAGATCCAAAATGGAATGGAGAGACGCTCCACCGCTCTTTTGCCCACCAGTTGCAGATGAGCGAGTGGAGCTAACGAACGTTAACCGGCAGGCAAAGAGAGCACGATCCGTCCATCTGGACCCTCAGCACAGAATGCCCGGACCGGAGGAGGAGGTGGAACACGGTGAAGTTGTTCCATCATGCCAGAAAAAATTAATTGCAAACAAGGTGTTCGATGATTTGCGCCAGTCAGAAGTGAGTACTCGCGACTGGAGAGCCACCGGGGAGTAGTAATTGGACCAGAGGGAACCCTCGGCGATCATTGAATCTAATCGATCATCGGCCCGGACAGTCGACTCACCGTTCACAGAAGAGATATTGAAATTGCCAAAACCCAGGAAGTTTTCAATGCCAATATTCATGTTGTTCGACGGAACGAAGGACCCAACCAGGCACATCTATCAGATCTAGCTGAAGATGGCCCTGGATACCGAGGACGACGCCCTGATGTGTAAGGTCTTCCTAACAAGCCTCGTTGGACCTGCACTCAATTGGTTCAAGCACTTACCGAGGGGGTCGGTTGGAAGCTTTCAGACACTTTACAACTTATTCATAGGTCAATACTTTGGTAACCGGTGGATTGAGAAGGATATATCATGTCTTTTCACTATGAGGCAGTAGGAGGGGGGAGCCTTCAGGCCTTTGTCACCAGAATTAATCTGGAAATGAGCATAGTGATTGATTGCCACCTATCATCAGCAGCACAGGCGTTTAAACTCGCCATGACTAGAGGGACTTAGTTTTATACGTTCTTGGTAGTGGCGACGCTTAAGACTATAGACAAACATTCAAGAGCGCAAGGCTACGCGCATCTCAAGGAGGATGAGGCAATCAATACAAAGAGGACCACAATGGTTACAATGGAAAACAAGTCAAGAGCAAAGATAACTACTCAGAGACGCCCTAATAACACAACCCCGAATGACGCCTTGGAAAACAAAAAAGAGGCAATGAGAGAATGAGATAGTCACACCACTCAAGGTCATTTTAGCACGGCTGTATCAAGAGAATAAAGGGATGTTCTGAGCATCTCAACCAATCAGACAGCCGATCGAACAAAGGGATCAATCCAAGCACTGTTCGTTCCATAGTGACATCGGACACCAGACAAATGAGTGTAGGAACTTGAGGAGGCAAGTTGAGATGAGAATTGCAAAGAGAGACTTGGCCAACTTTGTCTAGGATAAGGATTAGAACCTCCAGGATGATCACCCAAAGCAGAATGCAAGGGCGAACCCTCACGAGGGACAGCCAGTCCTCATAGTTAATGCGATTCATGGGCAACCTAAAGCCGAGGACAAGTAAGAGGAATTAAGATGAACGCGACTCAGGCAAGCTCACAAGATAAGAATGATAGGGAGCGTGAATATGGTCTGCCAAGACAAGGACGTGGCCTTGATCAAATTCGACAAGGATGACCTTCAGAGGAAACAGACACCACATGAGGACTCATTGGTGATCAACCTAATGGTGTCGAATTGCCTGATCAAAAGGGTTTTGATGGATCCTGGCAGCAACACCAATATCATAACCAAGGTGGCATTCTAGCAATTGATGATAGATCCAAGCAGGTTATACAGGGAATCCTTTGGTATGTTTGACGGTAGGAGAGTGGAACCTATTGGAGTTGTCGAGCTGCTCGTATGTGCTACACGACGGAACCTGGAAGAGAACTTCGTCATTGTTTATGTGTACCCTTCTTACAACCTCCTGATGGGAATTTTGAAACATTATTATTATTATTTTTTTGAATTCCGTTTTGGCAAGTAGGTTTAAAAAGTTTGAAACAGGAGCCTCCAAAAATTTTGGACACCGGGCTTGGAGGCCCACTATGTTGTAACAAAATTTGTTTATATATATATATAAACATACAAATCCATACACAAGTAAAAAAGATGTAAATTTCTACCTTGCGTTTTTAGCAAATATTGAGGCTGGTCTTGTGCTTTTCTCCATGGCACTTGACAAATAAATATGCAGATCCAAGATGAAAATAAGAATTACTTTTTGTTCTGCACAGAGAAGAAAAGAGGACAACTTAACCTATAAAACAAACGGGCTCGTTCATACTCTAAGTTGAATTAGGGTTTGCTTGTACTTTTCGTGTCTTTGTAAGTCTAGTAAATTTATTACTCCATATATGGTAAGTGAAGTTTCTTTTCTTTTCTTTTCTTTTCTTTTCTTTTTTTTTTTTTTTTTTTTTTTTTAATTCGCTTTAATTGGTAAGTAGGTTTTAAGGATTATTACAAATATATGGATTTATGAATCCATATTTATCATTTGATAGAATCAAAGTCATATTTTTTGAAGTTAAAATGCTGATGTATACATTGGAAAGCATTATTTGTTGTTCAAACTACCCTTACTATTTTTATGTACCACTTTTATTTTGGACATAAAGGTATCACTTTTATGCACACCATTTTTTCTACAACACAAAAAAATGATACCGACAACAAAAAGTGGTATGTGCTTGCATAACTGGTACAACAAGAGACACTTATGTTGTGCACAACAAGAGGTACCTATGTGTATAAAAGTGGTACCTCTATGTTCAAAACAAAAGTAATATTTGAAAATAATAGGGTAATTTGGGCAAATGCATGGTATTTTTCTATTTTCACTTCAACATCTTGATCAATTCAAATTTTTTTTTAGGCATTATGACTTTGACTCCCTCGAATGAGTAAATATGGGTCCACACCATGAATGAGCAATAATCCCTAGGTTTGAAAGTTTTGAACCTGCTTCGACCCAATATTTCATCTGATATCCAATTTATCCCACTCAAGGCCCAATTGCCCAAGCCCCAATTGCCCAAGCCCACTGAGCCGCTGTTACTTTACTCTCACTGGCAGTAATTATATACGCATAATAACTAAGGCTTAAATGCTTTTTTTACCCCTGTTTTCCATTTGATTAATTTTAATTAAGCTATATACCCCAGGTTTTTTTTTTTTCCCTCCTCCCCTAACTGTATACATTAAAATATCTATATTTATATTTTATAGAACAATACTTAGATCCTTATTAGTGAGGATCTACAACATACTTACGGTTAATGTGGACTAATAATAAATTGACACGTACTATTTTAATTACCAATCATAAATGGTAATCAAATCATTATCTCTAATTTGGTTAGTGAATATCTATCTATCATCTTTGATTTGGTAATTAAAAATCATATCAATTTATTATTGGTCTATATAAGCGGTGAGTATGTTGTAACCTGGGCAGCACTAAAGTGAAGGTAGTGTCCCATGTGCCTTGGTCAAAATTTAAAATTTATACAAATACAAAAACCAATTAATTGAATAAACCCTAACATCATTCTAAGTCATTCTTATGATCCAAGTCCAACAATCAATTATTCTCCGGCTTGTTTTTAAGTTCTTTGCAAACCCAAATCCAATAGGGTTACAATCAATTGCTCTGCTCTCAAATTGCTTTATCTTAATCACACATGACCATGGCGAAATATAAAGTAGGACTATATATATATATATATATGATCCAAAGCCACATTCTGAGAAAGGCAAACCCAAATCCAACAAACAATTGTTCTCCTGCTTGATTTCAAGGTCTTCACGACCCCAAATCCAATACTCAATTGCTTTGTTTTCAAGTTGCTTCATCTTCATCACACATGACCATGATAGAGATATAAGGTAGAACTAATAATTATAGAACAATAACATAAAATCAAATACCCATTCTAGATCTGTGCTAGATGCAAAATTATTCTTAAAATTAAAGAGTGAACATGTAATTCCTTTTTTTAGAAATTCAAAACAAACATGATTTATATATGTATGTCTATATATATAAAGTATATAGTCCACCATTCGGCCTGAAATCACGGCGTCATGAAAAGGCAAACCCATATAGATTTGAAAGTTGAATCAGGAACAGACAGTGAACAAATTCATGTAGTTAGAAGTGTGAAACTAACTACGTAGTTCAACTTCAGGGGTCTCTTCGCAATATTATTTGATAAAAAGCCATAAAATGTATATAATAATGATATACATATACACAATGTTCCAAGTAGTGAACATAAATGATATATGTATCTATATATATTCATTTGCTGTGACATTTCTTCTTTTATCCTTTTGTTGGACTAACCTGGACATGCGTGGATTGATGGGCCAAAGCTGTTTAATGCACTTTCAATTTACTTTAATGATAGGAAAAACCATTAAAACTACTCCCTCTTCCCCAACTTGCTAGGCTAGAAGGATTTTAATAATATTTTTAGTACATTGATATGAGGTGAATTTTCAAATTTATCCTTTTTAAAAGGCCAAAAAGTACCACTCCGTAATAAGATTTTGGGACGAAGCAAGGAGTAAACTTCGTACCTCCACAAAACTATATATATATATAAAGAACACTTTTAATAAAAGGAAAACCTTATTTTTATATTTAAAAAATGTTTATAAATAATATTCCCTCCGTCCCAATTTTAGTGTCACGTTTGGAGAGAAGTAATTTTTAAGGGGACATATGGAACATGCCTTGTCACCCTAGAAAGTTACTAAATTGTTCTTTTAAATTTAGAATGTTTAAGTTTAAAATTTAAAACTTAAAGAACATATATGAAAAGTTGTGAAATATATTATTTAAAAAAGGAAGTTGGACACTTATTTTGGGACAGATAAAAAGGGAAAGCATGACACTTATTTTGGAATAGAGGGAGTAAAAAATTCTTACACTTCTATATGTAGTAAATATAGATCATAGATAGATACTGATACTTGCTCCAACAAGAAGTATGTACTTGTAACATATAATCAAAGAATTATAGGATTACTAAAGCTACTCCAGCAGGAAGTTTCTTTCGGAAATGCTTGGCACGCTTTCTTGCTGCTTTTCTTTCCTTGGTATCCTCATGCTCCCATGGAGTTCCTATTAGAAACGGTTTGTGAGAATCAAAAGTAATCTTCTCAAGCACGACGGCGTTCTTGATTAAATACATAGCAAGCTCAGCATCATTTGTACGCCCAACAAACCCGATGAATTCCACCACCTTAAGATACTGATGGGGCCGAGACGCAAAACTTTGTCGTATTCTTTGCTGCTTTCTCTTGAGTAATTCCAACTGTAACAAGGAGGAATGGAGTCATACAATGACATATACATTTAAGTAGATCATTAGCATACAAAACCAAAATACCAAGTATCAAATCGTAACTCAGGACAAGTTAGAATCATGACATTGCTAGACTCAATAGAATAGCCAAAACAGGCTCCATTTAGATTGAACATATTCTGTTATATGACATTAGTCACCCTGCTGTAGCAACCATAAAATTCATCAAGCATTAAAGAAACAAAATCAAGAAAAGTTTAATTGCTTAGGAATGACAACATGATTACATTAGTATTCCACGTCCGTTACAAAGACACAAAATGATAAAAGCAAAGAAGAAGAGAATACATGCAGCTTTAGAGATGGATTCACACTGTTTTGAAAAGGGTCCTAAGGTAATTGAACAATCATGAGAATAAAGCAAGAACGACCATGTAAAACTCTCGGGCAGAATTATTAAATCAACATGGGAACAACATTAACAAAATTCTTGATCAATTGGGAGACTAGATCAAAGCTAAACATTGTAAGAGCATTTTTCCTATTACTGGTAAAATTATCATTTGTAATAGCAATAAAGAAGTAATTACTTGGGAAAATTGAAATCTTTTAAGCCGAAGTCCAAATGAATCAATGTTTCCAATTGAAAATTCAATTTCAAAAGAAACAAACCTCACATTTTTAGAAATGAGACTTATTACCTGTAACACAAATTTATTCAAGAAAGGGCACGCCTCTATCAAGAGAGCAAAAACTAGAAGACTTTGATATTCACTTGTAACATAAATTTTCAACTCCAGTTGCTTGAGCTTATCAAAGACTGGAAATTTAGCAAACTTGATACCATTCTGAATAAACCCAAAGAAAAAATAGTAAATCAGCACAAATTGATAATTATGTTAAAAAATGAATAAAATAAAAATTAAGGGGAGGAGATAAAAAGAATTAGTTAAACTAACTAACCTCAACGGAGGTCATGGTCAACGTAAGGCTCTCTAGATGAGAAAGATAGCTTGAAATCTCGAAAAAGTTATAAATTAGATAATCGTAGTAATCACCCCCAATATTCAGTTCAACAAGCTCGTTGACGTTCTTAAATGGCTGGCTTATTTTTGGTCCAGAGTAGTTAAATGACACTAGATTCATAGCAGAAATTTCAATACTTTCCACATTGTCGCAGTAAGTTATCTCCAAGCGCTTCAATTTGAGAGAGTGAACTTTCAGATTTACCAAACATTCGGAGTTCGCCACAGACAACTGCTCCAAAAATGGGCAGTTAGTTAAGAAGTCCTCAAGAACTTGTCCAGTTACATTCACGTCTTTGAGCAGGAGATTGGTCAGCGAATTGCACCTAGTAAACCCAAGGGACAATGAATGCAGGTGATTTGTAATTCGGTCTGTGTCAGGAAAATTGTAACCCTCAGTGGTTCTCCCAGGTTGAAACAAGTCTAAATCAAGCCTTTTTACTCTCTTTTCGATTGCAAAGTTAACCCAGTTGTCGATATCAAATCTACAAGTTTTATCGAGATCAAATTGAACTCTGAATTGATCTATACATGGACCATTGAACGAGTTCAAGACTTGATTAACCCAACTTAAATAAAAAGGCCTTCCTTCTTCAAGTTCCTTATCTTCCAGTTCTAGTCCATATATAATATGTGAGGCATCAAAGTTCAAATCAGTAATGTAAGTCCACACATACCTCCATCTCTTTGAAAGCAGACTACTTCTTCCAGCTTCTTTCATTGTCAATAGTGACAAGATGGAAACGAGTATAACATCAGGAAGTCCACTAATGCGATCCTCCAAACACAACCCTCCTCCTTTATCATCCTTCTCACTATTCCAATAAAAGATTAAAATAATAATAATAATTAAAAAACTGTGAGTTAACAGAAACACCATAGTAGTGCTGAATTTTTGTAACAAAATATCTTCATTTATTTAAAAATAAAAAATATAAAAGAGGCATAGAAATCCATAGATACAGAAGTTAAAAAAGATGGTACCTTGCGTTTTGAGCACAACATATTGAGGTGGTTTTCTCCATGGGATTTGAACTTACAGTTTTCTGCATAATTTTAACAAATAATTCTGCAGATCCAATAGGAGATAGCAGCAGGAGAAGATGAACTGATTAGAGAGATATAAAAACCAAAAAAGAGAGCAAAAAAAAAAAAAAAAGAGAGAGCAATTTTGTGTTGAGTCTGGAAAAGAAAACAACTTTATATAGATTAAGGGCGTTAGATTGAGTCTGGAAAGTAATGTTAAATTGGGTTTGTACCAACTTGGAAAGTAGTAATTCTGTAGTATGTTTCCTACTAGGATTAGGCAACTAAATAAATAATACTGGTTTAACCGATCTTTTGTTTCTCACAAGAAGGAAAAAGAAAATTTACGGAACAAATTTACAAGATCTTGTAGATTCCTCCTATTTTGCTGATTCTGAAAAAAAATAAAGAAAAAATCCGATCTTTTGTTTCTCACCAGAAGGAAAAAGGAAATTTACAGAACAAAATTTCATAATGAAAGCAAAACTTACAAGATCTTGTAGATTCCTCCTATTTTGTCTCTGAAAATTTACAGAAGGGATTTTCATGATAGAAACAAAAATTTACAAAATCTTGCGCCTTCAGATCATCATCCTTGAGAGAGAGAGAGAGTTGGGCTCTGAACTGAACATCTCATCTGACACAGGTTATTATTATGTGTCGACAACGGTTGAGATGCTTTTAAATGTAAGGGTTGTGAGATTGGTTAATGAATTAACTTTTTGGGCTTGCCATTGAAATGATGTGAGTTGGGCTCAACCTTTTAATATGGAGAATACTTAGTAAAATACCATTGGGCCTTTCAGTTAACCAGTTTTCAGGGTCTTACGCGGTTTTTTCATCTTGCATAGTCCACCACCACCATTACGTGATGAAGGCAAATAAAATAATTCTCAATTATAAAGGATAATTATTGACGTTTAATAAATAAATATATAAATTTGTAAATTAATCTGTCAAATTTTCTATTAAAAAAAAAAAAAAAAACTTCCAATTTGTGAATTCACGCAAATAAATTTAAATTAATTAAAAAATAAAGTTGATTCGAACGGTAAGTAATAAAATCACAACAAATTTCTTTCACAAATATGTTATAATGTATTATTCATTCACATCCTCACAGACATCCTAGATTTTAAGTGTACTACATAAATCTGGTCCAAGTCGTTTTTCAAGAGAAAAATAGAATAATCACAGGTTTTGCTTCAGGGCATATCAGAAAGGGAAAAAAAAAGCATTGATAGGCTTATTTCTTCATGCGTGTTGGGAAATACAAAAGTATTTGCTAATGTATTTCTTTTATAAATATGGATAAGAAATCGTGCTAATGATGCACAGCCCATTATTATTATTATTATTAAAATAATAATAATAATAATAAATAAATAAAATCTCTCCACTTTACAACCGTACTAATAAATAGATTATACAAACATATAACTAATTAAAGGATCACCAAAGTTGCTCCGACAAGGAGTTTGGTTCAAAGTTTCTCAGTGCGCTTTCTTGTTACTTTTTTCTGCTTGGTCTTCGTAAACTCAAATGGAGGGTGTGCGAATATCAAAAGTAATCTTCTCAGAATTGAGAACACTCGTGATTAAATACATTGCAAGCTCAAGATCGGTTATTTGAGCAACGAACCCAATGAATTCCACCACCTTAAGATACTGATGGGGCCAACTTCTCACACTTCGCCATTTTCTTCTGTGATTGAGATTGACAAATGTAAGCTGTAACGAGGAGGAGGAGTAATGGAGTCATACAGTGCAAGTAAAGCTTTGGCATACAAAACCATTATAATAATAATTTAAGCTTTAAAAGACCGTGTGTGGATTGATGGGCTAAAGCTGTTGGACCATTTTAATACACTTTTAATTTACTTTAATGATAGGAAAAACCATTAAAACTACTCTCTCTTCCCCAATTTGTTAGGCTAGAAGGATTTTAATAATAATTTTAGCATATTGATAAGAGTGAATTTCAAATTTATCCTAAAGGCAAAAAAATACTACTCCGTAATCAGATTTTGGGACGAAGCAAAACTTCTTGGCCTCCACAAAACTCTCTCTCTCTCTCTCTCTCTCTCTCTCTCTATATATATATATATATATATATATATATATAGATATATAAAGAACACTTTTAATGATAGGAAAACCATATTTTTATATTTAAAAAAAGTATATAAATAATAAAAAATTCTTACACATTTATATGTAGTAAATATAGATTTGTTGGAAACAAGAGCATTAAAAACATAAACTTTGGATGAGATTTTGAATAGATTCCGTTAAGAATTATTTTCGGATCTATGGACGAGCGTGTTCCTCTCTGCAAGGAGATGAACCTGGTATATTTACTTCCTCAAATCCGTTTCCGAGTGAATGAGAAATTAGCTCCAAAGTAAGGAATTTGATAAGCCTAAATAGGTTTGCAAAATGTGAGAAATGTTTGTCCCACATCGAAAAAATATTAAAACCAAATTGAGTTCATATAAGCCTAGTATGAGATTTGGGTTTAGGCTCAAGGGTACCCAAGATTTTAAGAGGGGGAGGACCTAGGCAAGCTTGGGTTCGAACCAACTACCACACGCGTGCTGCCCCACCCGGTCAGGTCTAAGGCGGGGCTTGATTGTGAAATATGTTTAATTTTTTATTAAACGAAATTGGGCTTATGTGGTTGGATTTTAATATTTTTTTGCTGGGTTTATTAAGAGGGCCGAATTGGGCCAGCTGTTTGCTGGGCTTCATAATGGATTAAAACAGTTTTGGTATTTAATTAAAATTAAAATCATAAAACAATTTTATGTTAACCATTATGAACCAATGGTTGCACCCTTTTCTAGAATAAACAACCAGCAGTTTTTCCTAAAACATTGTGAACCAATGGTTGCACCCATTTGGAAAAAGGCACCATGTAGCCTATAAATACCCCTCATTGGGTTCATTCCAAATTACACCAAAATTCAGAGAATTCTTCTCTTCTTCTAAATTTTCTTCTTGTGAGTTCGAACCTTAGAAAATTAAATTTGTGGGATAGAAATACAGTTATTATTAACGATATATTCTCCTTTGCAGTTGTTCTTGATATTGCAGGTGCTAATGAGGATCCTGAACCTCAAAACATCGAAGAGTGTCGATGTAGAAATGATTGTCTATTTCTTATAGAAAATTAAATTGCTGAGCCTGAAGTCTCGCAAGTATTAAATTATTTAATATGCAAACTCGAAGTTTTGCATATATTAATTTACTGTTTGTGAGCCTGAAGTTTCGCAAATATTTGGTATTCTTTGCAAACCCGAAGTTTTGCAAAATTTATTAGCCTGAAGTCCAAATGAATCTGAAATTCTTTGACCTGAAGTCATTTCCATGGAGTACCCTTACAAACCTGAAGTTTTGTAAAACGTAGAAATATAAATTATATGTGCCTTTTAGTGTAAACATAGTTTATCTTTTTGTTATTGTTTTGTTTATTGAAAGCACATGACTAACTTTTGACATTATATATTTACTGACAAATCACATTATAGTGATTGCAGTATTTTTATAATCTCAAATTGATTATTCTTTTTGTGAAATAATTCTAACTATATTATTTTATCATTTATAGTTCATAATGTTAAATCTTACCAAACTTGAATTTGTGGCACTTTGATATCTCGGGCAAAAACTACTTGTCATGGATCCTTGATGCCGAGATCCACTTGGAAGCCATGAATCTTGGTGAAACAATTAAGGAGAAAATAATGCGTCCCTGTAGGACCGTGCAAAAATCATGATCTTTCTTCGCCATCACCTCTATGAGGAATTAAAAACAGAGTACCTCACGGTTAATGATCCACTTACACTGTGGAAAAATCTGAATGAACGATATGAGCATCAGAAAACTGTGATCCTTCCAAAAGCTCGCTATGACTGGATCCACCTGCGATTGCAGGATTTTAAAAGTAATAATGAGCTTTTGATGCAAAACCACCAGTCCCGTCCCACTGGATCTGTACCATTCCCAGAAGCGAATGTGTCATCATTTCACGGCCATAGACGTGAACGTGGACGCAGACGTCGTGGTGGTCGTGGATATGGTCACAATAGAAATAATAATAATAATCGTGGTGGTCATAATTCCTCATTGGTTCCTAGAAGGAAATCCACACCGTCCCACCAGAAGTGGAATTCAAATGCGACCAAGCAGGCAAAAGAAAAAACTTTGCAGAACAAAGCTCCTGAGATATATGATGACAAGCCTTGCTATAGATGTGGAATGAATGGTCATTGGTCGCGTACCTGTCGTACGTCCAAACATCTAGTTGATCTTTACCATGCCTCAATGAATCATAAAGGAAAAGGAAAGGAAATTGAAATGAATTTTATGGATGATGACTTGCCTGTTGATATTACTCACCTTGATGTTTCTGACTTCTTTGTTGATACTAGCAGTAGTATTGATCATTTGATTGGTGATGAAAATGTCCATACCAATTAATGTATCATTCTCTAGTATGTTATCCCTTGTGTGTTTTATCTTATCTGTATCAATATATCTCTATCTAGGTTGTACTAGTATGTTTTTATTTTCGCTATTTTGCATGTAAATCTAGTTTGCATTTCAAGTTTGAAGTAATGAAATATATATTTTGTATATATGAAGAAGCATGGATTTGACTAAGGCATTGAGTGTACCCAAGAAAAATGGTGAAGATATATGTCTGGCAGACAGTGCAACAACGCACACTATACTCCGAAATAGAAAATATTTTTCGAGTATAACATTAGTTGAAGCTCGTGTCAATACAATGTTAGGTCCAGCAGACCTAATTGAAGGCTCCGGAAGAGCTATCATTGTGTTACCATGTGGAACATAATTGAATATTGATGATACTTTATACTCTACCAAATCCAAAAGAAATTTATTAAGTTTTAAAGATATACGTTTCCACGGTTATCATATTGAGACTATAAATGAAGGGACCGTTGAATATCTCTATATTATATGCCAGAAGCATGTATTAGAAAAACTCCCTATTTTATCTTCTGGGTTATATTATACAAATATAAGAGTAATTGAGTCACATGCAGTGACGCACCAGAAGTGCTCCGACCCAAATATTTTTGTACTTTGGCATAATCGCCTTGGTCATCTTGGGTCAACAATGATGCGCCGAATAATTGAAAATTCACATGGTCATCCACTAAAGAACCAGAAGATTCTTTTAGCAAATGATTATTCTTGTACCGTTTGTTCACAGGGTAAATTAATAGTCAGACCATCACCTTCTAAGGTCGTCGTTCAATGCCCACCATATTTACAACGAATTCAAGGGGATATATGTGGACCAATTCATTCAGCGTGTGGACCATTTCGGTATTTTATGGTCTTAATTGATGCATCAACACGGTGGTTACACGTAAGTTTACTTTCTACTCGTAATGTTGCATTTGCTTGACTCCTTGCTCAAATAATCCGATTACGAGCACAATTTCCGGATTATCCAATCCAGACTATCCGTCTTGATAATGCCGGGGAATTTACATCTCAATCATTTGATGACTATTGCATGTCAATTGGCATTCTTATTGAACATCCTGTTGCACACACTCACACCCAAAATGGTCTTGCAGAATTTTTTACCAAGCGTCTTCAGTTAATAGTTAGACCATTACTCATGAGAACTA